TCTAATAGCCATTGTTGTAGCACAATACCTTTGTGATCCCACATTTCCATAGTGATATCACTAACCCACTGTGAAATTCCAATCCTCTCACACCCAATCCAGGTATGAAATGTGATACCCGAATCCAGTGTGACATTTAGATCATAGTGACATCACACTGATAGATGTTAAGAGCATTTTGTCACATTCTGACAAGACACACCTGTTAGGACTTCATCACTTTTGTGACAACGCATGCCTTTGGAGATAACACAGTCCCTTTATGAGCTCATATACTCATTGTGAGTTAATGACAATTGAGATCACATGTGTCATTTTGATATCACCAACCCATTTTGACATCACACACCTCTTGTAAACATCACTAGAGTGGCATCACCAATTGTGATATGAAAACCTTATTAAGTTATCATATTGCAACATCACATTGCCATTATTATATCACTGTTCCATTGTGTTTTCTAAAACCTAGTATGTCTTCATAGCATTTTAGAAAATTCATGGTCTTTTATACTTCAGTCTTCTGTGAACTCATATCCTCATTGTGAAATAGTAGCAACTGAAATTGGACATGTGATTTTGAGGTATGACTTCACAAAACTATTTGATTTCATTACCAATTTGACATCCAAACCCATTGAGAACTTTCATTACCATTTGACATCACTATCACATTTTGACATCCCAAACCGATTAAGACCTCTTAGCACATTTGATAAAAACATATGACCTTTGTGACATCACAGTCGCTTTGTGTAACTATACCCTTATTATGAACTTCCAATTGGTATCAGACATGCCATTGTAATATCACGAACCCTTTGTGGCATCACCAGTGTGACATAACATTTTCATTATGACAGCGTCAACTACTTTTGATATCACAAAAGTACAATGACAAGATAGCATTATGAGATCACATTGTCATTGTGAAGTTACAGATAGATTGTGAATGCTTATTTTTAATTGTTTTTTTTTTTTTTCCGGTTGTGGGGCTTGAACTCTGGGCTTGGTTGCTGTCCCTGCTCTTCTGCTCTAGGTGAGCACTCTATCGCTTGAGCCACAGCACCACTTCTGGTTTTCTAGTTGTTTTTATTGGAGATGAGTCTTATGAACTTTCCTGCCTGAGCTGGCTTTGAACTGCGATCCTCAGATCTCAGCCTCCTGAGTAGCTAGGATTACAGGTGTGAGCCACCAGTGCAAACCTATTTCATTCTATTGCAAATTTGACATATGTGTTGATATCAGAAACATAATGTGACCTCATAACCATTGTAACATCATAAATCAGCAGTGACATCAAATTGTCATTATGACACCATCAACTCATTGTGACATCACCAAACAACAATGGCATCATAGCAGTATAAATCACAGTGACATTGTTACATCATAGACGTAACATTGTAAAGGCTTATTGTATGAATTTATTCTATTTCAGAAACCCATTTTGCCAATATATAACCATTCTGATATCACAATACATTGTGACATCACATTGCCATTGTGATATCATTAACCTGCTGTGCCATCACAAACCAGTCCTGTCCTTATAAGTTTTGTGCCATGCTGCCCTCATCATATATTAGGTCCTTGTGAGCTCATAATCTGTTTTCAATCTCATATTTCTGGTATGACATGTGATAACAGAAATCCCTTGTGACATCATATTGCCAGATTTCATGAATATTGTGTCACATTGTGACATCACAAAACTGTTAGAACAGCATTACGTTTGTGACAACACATGCTTTTGGAGACATTACAGTCACTTTTTGAACTCATATATTCATTCCCAATTAATGACAATTGAGATCTGCCATGCCACTCTGACATCATGAACTCATTGTGACATCACAAATTTATTGTGCTCATCACGAGAATGGCATCAACAACTAATTGTGGTATGAAATCATTATTTTGACATTATATTGTGGTATTGCCGTCGTGACATCATTGTTCCATTGTGTTTTTACAAACCTACTATGGCGACATCACATCTTAGAAAATTCATGGTCTTTGAGATTTCAAGCTTTTTTCTGTGAACTCATGTACTTATGACCCCTAAAGCAAGGACACAAGCCATTGAGTCAAATTTAATATAATAAAACAATTTACAATAGAAAGGGGACTGTGATTACCTTATCCTGGACTGGATACCCAGGTCCAAGACCATCCTTGACCAACAAACCTCAGAACTTCAATGGGCAGCACCACCCTTTTTAATTGGTCTGCAAACCACCATCCAAAAAATTATGATCTCCAAAGCTCCAAACCTCAATGGGCAAGGCTTTTTACTTTTCCATTCCTCCCTCCTTCACTACAGAGCTGTGCTTCCTTCCTGGTCTTTCCCTTTATCCCTTCCACCACTTCCTTCTTCTCTTCCACTCTCCTCCACTCTCCACAGGCCTGCCCTACTCTGCCCCCGTGACCACTTTCCAACCTTCTGCTCTCCATCAACTTCCTCTCTTCTCAGATTTTTCTCTTTATTCCATCCAGGTAGCACCCATTTTTATTTCCCCTTCCAATGCTCTGAAAATGCAACCTATATATAGGTTTACCTCTCTTTAATCTAATGGGTCTTCTGCCTAACAGTTTTCAACAATCACTTCCCAAACTGCCCAATGCTCAATCACTCCTTGACAGCTCACCATGTGAGGCTTGACACTTCACCTTTGGCGGCATTCCCCACACTCTCCGGTGGGCCAGGCCAAGAATTTACAATGATTATCAGCTCAGACAGATAATTCTGGCCCCACTGGTTATTACATTATCCTCATAGTGAATTAGAAGAAATTGAAATTGTATACGTCATTGTTATATTACAATCTTGATGAGACATCACTAAACCATTGTGACCTAATCACCGTGGTGACATCACAAAATCATTGGGATATCACATTGACATTGTGCCACCATGATCACATTGTGACATCCCAAACCTATTATGACCTCAGAAGCTTTGAAAGAAAGCATGGCCTTTGCGAAATCACAGGTCTTTTGGTATCCATACCCTTATTTTGAGCTAATGACAATTGAGATGAGACATGTCATTTTAACATCGCAAAACCTTTATGACATCATCACCAGTGTAATATCACATTGTCATTATGACAGCATCAGCCCATCATGACATCATAAAACAATGACATCATAGCATTATGATATCACATGGTCATTGTGATGCCACAGACACATTGGAATGCTTATTCTGTGATTTCATTCTATTTCAAAAGTGGCAGGTTTGTTGATATCAGAAATACATTGTGACTACATAATGTTTATGACATCACAATACCTTGATGACACCATATTGCAATTATGATATCACTAACCCACTGTGACATCACAAACTTTCTTATTCTCATAAATTTTTGACATGCTTCCAGTGTGATCCCTTTGGCCTCTCTGAGTGCATAAATTGTTTAACTCATGATACTTCAGGTATGACATGTGATATCAGAAATCCACTGTGACATCATGACTGCTGTGACACACTGCCAGATATCATGACCACTGAGTCACATTGTGACATCACAAACCTGTTAAGACTCATGACACTTGTGCCAACATATGCCTTTGGATACATCATTAACCCTCCTGAACTTATATATTCATTGTCAATTAGAGATCTGGCATGAGATTTTGACATCACCATCTCATTGGGAAATCACAAACCTATGTGACCTCATCACTTGTATGGCATCACCAACAATTTGTGACTTCAAAACAATACTATCCCATGTAATGGTAACATCACATTACCAATGGGGTTTTCACCATTGCATTTTCACCAACCAATTATTTCCTCATAATATTTTACAAAATTTATGGCCTTTCTGACTTGTAGCTCCTTATGTGAACTAGTATCTTCATTGTGATCTAGTAGAATGAAATTGGACATGTAATGGTGATATTACAAATTCATTGTGACACCATTATCCAAGTGTGACCTTATCACCACTGTGACATCACAAACCCATTGTGACATCACATTGCCACAGTGATATCTCGGTCACCTTGTGACATCCCAAATCTGTTGTGACCTCTTAGCACTTTTGAAAAAGCACATGGTACTTGTGACATCACAGTCCCTTTGGGTAACCATATCCTCATTGTGAACAAAGGACAACTGACATCAGACATGCCATTGTAACATTACAAACACTTTGTCACATCATCTCCAGAGTGAGATCACATTGTTGTTATGATACCATCAAATCATTGTGACATCCCAAAATGACAATGACATCATAGCATTATGACATCACATTTTCATTGTTAGGTCATAGAGACAATGTGATTGCCTTTTCTGTGGTTTCATTATATCTCTAATGTGACATATAGGTTGATTTCAGAAACCCATTGTGACCACATCACCATTGTGATATTACAATCCCTTTGTGACCTCATATTGACATTGTGATATTATTAATGCAATGTAACACCACAAACCTCTCGTCCTCATAAATTTTGTAACAAGTGTCTACCTTGACCTGGCTAGATGCCCACAGCTAAATGCAGCTTCAACCATGAACCCTCAGACCTCCAAAGAGCAGCCCAACCATTTGTTATCTGGCCTGCAAATAAGCAACCCCAAAAATAATGATCTCCAAAGCTCCAAACTTCAAAGGACAAGGTTTTTTTCTTTCTATTCATCCTCCTTCTCTACAGACCTGTCATAACTTTCAGGTCTTTTCATTTTTTTCCTTTCACCATTCCCTTCTTTTCTTCAAGCTTCTCTACTCTTGACAGGCCTGCCCTGCCCTGTCCAGGTGGCCAGTTGCCATCCTTCACCTCTTGGTCTCCCTCAATTTCCTCTCCTCCCAGGTTTTTACCCTCCTGCAGCCTCTTTACTTCTTTCCTTCCAGGCCTTTCCCTCTTTTCTCTCCCCTTCTGTTGCTCTGAACATGCAGCCTATGTATAGGCTGTACCCTTCCCCCACTGCAGTATGTTTCCTGCATAACAGTTTTCAATCATCACTTCCCAAATGTCCATGCCCAATCACTTCATGGCAGCTCACAATGTGGGGCTTGACAACCTATCTCCTTCAGCAGCATGTGCTGCTCCCTTCAGCTGCATGCACCCGCCTCTCCTGTGGTCCAGACCAGGAGGCCATGATGACTATCTGTTCCCATGGATGATAGGGTCACTGCTGGTTATTAAGTGTATCATGGTGATCTAGGAGAAATTGAAATTGGACAAATTTGTGGTATTACAAACTCATGATATAACTAACCCATTGTGACCTTACCAACACTGTGACATCACAAACACATTGTAACATCACATTGCTGTTTTTGACACCAGGATCACATTGTGACATCCCAAACCTATTATGACCTCTTATAACCTTTGAAAAAAATACATAGTTTTGTGACATCACAGTCCCTTTGTGTACCCAAATCCCCACCATGAAATATTGACAATTGAGAATCAAACATGACATTTTAACAACAAAAAGTTTGTGAGATCATCACAATTGTGACATCACATTGTAGTTTTGACACCATCTGCTCATTCTGAAATCACAAAAGTAAAATAACATGATAGAATTATAACTTCACATTGTCATTGTGACATCATAGACACATTATGAATGCCTTTTCTGTGATTTCATTGCATTTCAAATGTGGCCTGTAGGTTGATATAAACAAATCTTGAAATCATAACCATTGTGACATCACAACCCCTTTGTACATCACATTGTCATTGTGATATCACTAACCTACCATGACATCACAAACCTATCCTGTCATCATAAATGTTGTGACATGCTGCAATTTTTTTAAGCCTTTTTGTCCTCATGATCTGTTGTGGACCTCAAATTCCCAGTGGATACAAATTCCCAGTGACATCATGACCATGGTAACATCACACTGCCAGATGTCATAACCATTGCGTCAAATTCTGACATCACAAACCTTTTTGGATTTCAATATACTTGTGACAACACATACTTTTGGAAAAACTACAGTCCTTCTGTGAACTCAGATACTCATTGTAAGTTAAAGACAATTGAGAAACATTATGTCATTTTGACATGCCTCACACATTGTGACATCAGCAATCTTTTGTGACCTCATCACCAATGTGGCATCATCAACTAATTGTGACACCAAAATAATATTTTGACATGATGCAGTGAGTTGACATTGCCATGGTGATATTAATGTCCCATTGTGTATTCACAAACCTAATATGGCCTCATAACATTTTTAAAAATTCATGTCCATTAGGACTTCAAGCTCCTTCTGTGAACTTGTATGCACATTGTGAAAAAGCAATTGAAATTGGACATGTGTTTAAGATATTACAAAATCATCATGACATCAAAAACCTATTGTGAACTCATCACAACTGTGTATCATGAAGCTATCATGGCGCCTAAGTACTTTTGAAAACAAACATGACATTTGTGACATTTCAGTCCCTTTGTATACCCATATCCTCATTGTGAACACATGACAATTGTATTCATATATGCCATTGTAACATCACAAACCTTTGGTACCCCATCATCAGAGTGACACCATTATCTCCTTGCAACATCACCAATTTACAATGACCTCATAGCATTATGACATTATATTATCATTGTGATGTCATAGATACCTTGTAAATGTCTATTCTATTTCATTCTCTTTCAAATGATGTGGCCTGTGGGTTGATATCAGAAAACCATTGTGATCTCATAAATGTATGGCATCACAATCACTTTGTGTTATCACAGTGCCATGGTGGTATCACTAACACACTGACATCACAAACTTGACCTGTCCTCATAAGTCTTGTGATGTTCTGCAATTGTGATGTCTTAGGCCCTTTATGAGTTCGTAATCTATTTTCAACCTTATAATATTTCAGTTACGATATGTGATATCAGAAATCCACTGTGACATCATGATCATTGTGACATCATACTGACAGATATCATAAATATTGTGTCACACTGTGACATCACAATCCTCCAAGGACTTCATCACATTTGTGACAACACATGCCTTTGGAGATAGCACAGTCTGTTTTGGAACTCATATTCTCTGTGATTTCATGATAAATGAGATCCTTTATGCCATTTGGATATCACCAACCAACTGTGACATCATAGACCTATTCTGACCCCTTACCTGTAGGTCATAATCAATTAATTGTGACATCAATATCTTTTGTGATGCCACAATGTGACACTATGATCATTACATCTGTCAGTGTGATGTCACAATGGTCATGATGTCACAGTGGATTTCTGGTATCTAATGTCATACATGAAATATGAGGTTGAAAACAAATTATGAGGGCAAAAATCTGATATCACAATGTCAGCATGTCACAAATGTTAGGAGGAGAGGAGAAGTTTGTGCTGTCACATTGTGCTAGTGACATCACAATGGCACTGTGATGGCACAAAGTGATTATGATGTCAAAATGGTTATTTAGGCACAAAAATGCGTTTTTGATAGCAACTCTCATGCCACATATGAAATACAATGAAATCACAGAATAGGAATTCACAATGTGTCTATGATGTCAAAATGAGAATTGTTGTCATAATACGATTATGTCATTGAGTTTGATTATGTCACAATGAGGTGATGCGCTTATAATGAAAATGTGATGTCATACTGTTGAGGATGTCACAAACACTTTTTGATGTTATAATGGCATGTCTGCTTTCCATTGTCATTAGTTAACAACAAGGATATGGGTACACAAAGGGACTGATGTTGAAAAGGGCATGTGATTTTTCAAAGAAGCTAAGAGATCATAATAGGTTTGAGATGTCACAAGGGAATCATGTTGTCACAATGAAAAGGTTGTCAACATGGGTTTGTGATGTCGTGGTGGTGATGATGTCAACATGTGTTTGTGATGTCACAACGAATTTGTAATATCACAATCAAATTTCCAATTTCAATTGCTACTAGTTCACAAGGAGGATACTGTAATAATCAGCAGGGCCCCGATAATCTACAGGCTTAGATAACCAGTGTGGCCCCATCTCCTGGCCAGCTGGAGAGGATGAAGTATGCCACCAAAGACGGTGGGGCATTCTGTGGGAGGGGCTGTGGCAATAATCATCACGTGCTGAGCTGTGGAGAAGTAATTTGACTGTAGGCAGTTTGGGATTTGACAGTTGAAAACTGTTAGGCAGTTGGAGTGAAGAAGGGGTACAGACGTTATATAGGCTTCTGGTTCAGAGCAATAGAAGGAGAGAGAAAAAGGGAAAAGTCCTGTAAGGAAGGAAGTGGTTTGATAGCAGAAGGAGAAAGACCTGGGAGGAGAAGAAGTTGAGGTAGGGCAGGAGGTAAAGGATGGCAACTGACGACCCATTCAAAGCAGTTCAGGCCTGTGGAGAGTGAAGAGGCCTGAAGAGAAGAAGGAACTGGTAGAAGGGAGAAAGGGAAAGACCTCGAAGGAAGTATAGTTCTGTAGTGGAAAGACAAAAGAAAGGGTAAAAAAGGCTGGTCCTTTGATGTTTGGAGTTTTGGATTTCATAATTTTGGGGGTTGGTGGTTAGGAGAACATTTATGATATTAAATGTGTCTCTATGGATTCTCTTGAACTATAGAGGTCTTAATTTTTGGAGACCCCCATCGAGATAATCCATTTGGATGGCATCAGGCCTTGGCCTCAGGGAAAAATCCCCATAGGTGAGAGTGTCAGCACTCAGGGTTGAGAGTCTACCTCAAGTGTTTGTCTCCGGAGGAGAATCATAGACAAAAAGTCATTTAGGGTCCTCTAGGGGTGTGTGGGCAAGCTTGCCAGCCTGATTGGGGATCCCCTCTGGGATCTCCTTGAGAGGTCATGCAGGGCTTCTTTGGGAAGCCATCTGGAACCTCCTTGAGAGGTCATGTAGCCCTTCCTTGGGAAGCCATCTGGAACCTCATCAAGAGTACATCTGCAACTTCCTTGAGAAGCCATCTGAGACCTACCCTGGAGGTCATCTGGAGCCTTCTCCTGGGGCCATCTTGCACTTTCTCCAGAGGTCATTTGGGGCTTCCTCAGGAGGTCAGCTGAGACCTCTATAAAAGTAGTGATTGGGAAATAAGGGAAACCATGGACCTAAGTTTCTTTGGGCCTGGCTTACTTCACTTAATATAATTTTTTCCAAGTCTTTCCATTTCCTAACAAATGGGGCAAAGTCATTCTTTTTGGTGGAGGCATAGAATTCCATTGTGTATATATACTACATTTTCTTGATCCATTCATCTACTGAGGGGCATCTGGGTTGGGGCTTCCTTAAGAGGCAATCTAGGACCACCTCCTGAGGTCATCTGGAGCTTCTTTTGGAGGTCATCTCAGGTTACCTTGATAAGAAATATATGGCTGTCTTCGGACATCATCTGGAACTTTCTTGAGAAGCCATATAGGATGTCATCTGTGGCTTTCTCAAGAGGGTTATCTTGAACCTTCTCTGGAGTTCATATGTGGCCTCCTTGAGTGGCCATCTGGGAGCTACTGGTGAGGTAATCTCAGCCTCATTGAGAGGACATCTGGGACCACCTTTGGAAGTCATCTGACACTTCCTTGGGAAACCATTTGGAACATCCATGAGAGGTCATCTAGGGCTTCCTAAGGAGGACATATGTGACATCCTCCAGAGGTCATCCGCAACCTCCTCAAGAGGCAATCTGGAATGTCCTCTCTGTCATCTGGGACCTCCTATAGAGGTCAACATTGAGAGGTTTGGGGCATGTGGGTTAAGTGTCTGTGGCTATTGTTCTGTGTGTGCATGCTGATAGTTCTGTGTCCTGTATGACCCTCTGTTACTCCTTTTCTCAGGATGGGAGAACAAGGCCTAAATTTGTCATATCCAAAAAATATTCTCCCCCAGGGTTACAGAATCCCTCAGAGGAAGATGCACTGATGTACTCTTTCTCCTATTCTTTGCCATCAGCACCTCTAATGTTAAGTCCTCCCATGCGAAAATTGGTTACTTGTACCATCCTGAGGTGGTACAGTATGGTGTGTTACCCTTATTACCCTTGAGACGGGAACATGGAGGAGATGGTGGGCAGGTCCCCTTTTTAATATATGGTCCCTTTACAACTAGTGACCTGTATTACTGGAAACAGCAAAATCCATCCTTTTCAGAAAAAACAACAACCAGGGCTCATTACCTCATTAGAGACAGTAATTTTCACACACACGCACAACTGGGATGAGTGCGAGCAAAC